GCCTCTTAAAATAACCTCACTGTGTTGAAACGCGTGTTAAACCTACATCATTTCACCATGATTTTTGTCTCCCCTTTTTGTGTTTGTTACTCTCTTGTGACACATCTATATCTTCGGCACTTACATGACGTATACTTGTGTTGCAAGTGCTGTAAAACGATTACTAAAATAAACAAACAAAAGACCTTGTATACTCTAGTGGTCATGACAAGGAACATGCAAGGCCGCACAATCTTTCATGACTATGAGTTGCACCCGTTAGACAAACGGGGATAGATCTATCCAATACCCCCCGGGGCGGTGCCCCTGACTGAAGGGTCTTTAGGCCATTCCCAAAGGGGGGACATTTCTCGTTCTTATGCACAGTAGAATTGTAATAGGCTTATTCAACGTCATGCTCATAACTGTACCTGAACTACTACAGGGAACTGCTGCTTTTTCTTTCCTAATCCTTACTATCGTCATTTTCCTCTACTTCTTTTGTATGTTTGTCACACTCTTGTGACCCTTTATTTTTGGGGTGCTTTGAAAGTCGAAACAGACTCTGTGCTGTCAGTTTGTTACTGTTTGGGCGCTTAACCAGCTGCTTGCACTGTATGCTTCCTGGGAAGCTGAGAATGTTTCTGAGTGTTCTATGTTCTGCTGGGGTAATAATATTATATAGTGTAACGTGCCTAGAGCTTGCTTTCGAGTGGGGACATGCGCTTTACAAATGCTGTTTATTATTATTCTAATTGTCAAAGACGGTCGCTCGTTGTCGAGGAGAAAAGTGGCCGGACTTAGGCCATCTACACAGTATAAAAAAAAGCTCAAGGGGGTAATGGGAAGTGGCCGTTTGTACGGGTGGTTGTCTTATACAGGTGGCTGTTAAAGCAAGCTCGACTGTATTTATGAAAATTCTATATTGTCAGCTCGGGGATCTACTCCGTTATCTGTGGTACAGCGGTTAGGTGCTTCGTCTTCGCACGCGAAGACCTGAGTTTGGTTCCAGTGTGGGGTGATTTTTTTAACACACACGCGCTCGCGCGCGCACGTACGCACACCAACGCACTCACCCCACACACACTCAAACGTGTCTGTCTTTCTGCGGAGATGCTGTAAACCCCAGGGCGGTGATACTGACTGAAGTGTCTTTAGGTCATTCCCAAAGAGGGGACATTGATAATGTTCTTCTGCACAGTAGAATTGTAAATGGGCTGATTCATCAATGTCATGCTCATAACTGCTGATTTTTCTACCTAATCCTTACTATCTTCTTTTTTCCTCTTCTTCTTTTGTATGTTTGTCACTCTCTTGTGGCCCGCTATTTCCGGGATGCCTTAACAGACGTTGTGCTGTTGAATTTAGAGAGGTGAGCAGAGTAAGCCCGGTTCCCTGTAACTGAAAGGACTTATCTGTTGACATCCATCCTTGGCGCTCATATGACCGTATGCCGTTGCGAGCACCGTAAAACCTCTACTAAGAAAAACGTATTTGCCCAGGTTGAAAGTGACAGCAGGGTCAACGAAGTCTGCCTCCTAAATGATCTAAATTGTGTCGGTGGGGATGTAAAAGGAACCACATGCATACACGTTAAGAAACATTTATGTATAGTTAGCATATATAATATAGTATACGGTTACAGGACGTTCAAATAAGATAAGATAAGTCATGACAAGGTCAGATAAGATGTGATAATCTTTATTACTCTATTTTATCCAGGAACCAGAACACTGGTTTTGTTTTTCATGTTTTCACACACACACACACA